TTATAAAGGTATTATAAAATAGAAAACCCTAACTCTGTGTTGTATTTAATCAGTACTAAACTATAAATTTCTTCACCACAAATGCATGTTCCTTGCAAATGTGGCTGTATTTAAAAGGGAAATGAAAAGGCTTTCCAAGATTTATTGCCAAGAAGCATTGTTGCAACAAAGAAATAATCTGCCAAACAKTAATTTCCTTAGTTTTTGTGCTAAGTTTGATTGTGTTTCAGGAGTTTTTGTTGGCTGCATTCAAGTGTTTCTACCTGTTCTAGAAAATAAACTGTCCTCGCTGAGCCTTTCTTTATTATGACTAACCAAGCGAATTAGGATGATTTTTTTCTATTTATCTTGTTTTGCTTAGGTATGGAGAGCTTTGTTGAAGGATATGCCTCTTCATTCTGTGCTTAAGYTCTTGGGAAAAATAACTTCAAACAAACTTCTTGAGCCAGGAAGCCAAGAAACACAGATCATATGTGACAGATTTCAGAGCGAGTCGGCTCTAAAGAAGGTACAGTGAAAAACCTGTTCTAATAATAAATATTTGGCCTTACTAATTGAAGTTATTCAATTGAACTGTGCTAAAATCACTCAGGCAAAGATCCACCCATTCAGCATTCTCCTGGCATCAGAAAACTACAAGAGAGGTCAAGGCTATCAGGGGAAAACCAAGTGGGAAGCAGACGGTAGCATCCTCAAAGCCTTGGACTCAGCCTTCTACAAAAGCTTTGTGGTGGGTGTTTTATTTATTTATTCCCTTGAGATGACAATCAGCTGCTACAKAAACCTAACAGCTATGATGTTTTCAGAACGTGGAGCCTTTAGGGAAGCACTTTGTCGTGGCGGTAGATGTCAGCACGTCGCTGAGCAGCGTTGTCCCYGGAACAGCACTCAGCACTGCTGTAGCTGCTGCAGCCATAACCACGGTAGGACTGGAGCAGACACCTGCACTCTCTGAAGGGAAGTACAGCTGCAGTGTGTTGAGGTGGGGCTCGGGTGGGTCGACCTGTCTCTGAGGGGAAGCCTGTTTGAAGGACCTGGAAATTTTTTATCCACGGGCTTTTTAGTAGTTCAGAATAGGGCTGCAACAACGAATTGATAAAATCGATAAAAATCGATTATTAAAAGCGTTGGAAAGAGTTTCATTATAGATTCGTTATGTCCCGCGATTTATGCATCCCTCGCCATGCTGCGGAGCCATTTACGTCACTGCAGAGCGTTAAGGCTGTCTGAGCTACTTAAAGTTCAGGGGAAAAAAAACTTGACCTGTAGAGCCGCCCCTCTCTGAGACTCTCAACCGAAAAGTAGAGACTTCGAACTTTAAACCAGTTTTTAAATTGTGTTGTTAGGCTAAGTAGATCCGAAGATATGATAAAAAGTATATGCCACATTAAATTTTTTTTAAAAGACGTCTGATTTGATGTGCGCCACGTCGCGAGGAGGAAACACGTCCCGAGGCGAAAAAAAAAAAGGTACCTCAGTCGACCTCA